AAAAAATAAAAATTAACTATCTGACTGGTATGAGTTCTGTGCAAGAGTGTATAATTTTACTACGCCTAGGAATGTAGCTGTCCTTTGTGTCACAAATCTTTTTATTTTTAAACGGGATGCAAAAGGAGGCATCCAAAACTGTGCCCGTTATAAGTTTGCCCGCTTCTCTGAAGCTCCGAAAACCTAAAACTAACCTAAGCTCCAAACTCCATGCCAAAAAAAAAATTGGAATGAAACTCTGAATGCCAAGTCCTTCTTGGGAAGAAACTGTAGGAGCTGTTCCTGCACATGAGGCACTGGAGGGGGGGGGGCTCCTAATGGAAACGCTGACAGATTGCTAACCATAAGTGCTGCTGCCCTAAACACAAACACATGCTCAGACTTTGGGGAGAATGCTGTGCAATCTTTAATATAACAAGCACAATCCCACAAGGCTTCACCGTGCAGTACAGGTCCCTACTTGGGAGCCCAAACCTATGTTTGGCTTAACTGCCAAGTTTCCTGTTCCCTAAGAATAGCCAATAAAACTGTTGAAGGAACAGACCCTGCTAGGTCAGAACAAAGGTGGGCGCTCTGTGGCCCTCGGCCTAATTTCATGCATTCCTCCACAAGTTATCAGTTCATATATCATGTGCAAAAGCGATCTCCTTCTCCCAGTGGCGTAGCGTGGGGGGTGCAGGGGGGGCCGGCCGCACCGGGCGCAACATCTGGGGGTTAGGGTTAGGGGGCACAAATCCATGGGTTAGGGGGCACAAATTACTTGCCTTGCCCCAGGTGCTGACAACCCACTCTACGCCACTGCCTTCTCCTGCCCCAACCACTGCAGTCTGATGGGCAGGGAGGGAGAGGAAGAGGGGATGGGTTGCGAAAACAGATGAAGGGTGATAGAAGAAAAACAGGGGGGACATGGAGGCCCTGGCCCTATCCACTGCCAGCATATAGCTCCTGACAGACTAGCCTGGAGGAAATGCAGGCCTTGACAGGTTTTTTAAAGTAGTTTCTCACTCCTGTTTTAGTGCACCATCATATTGCCAACTGTGGTACCCCAGGTGTTTCCAAAAACCTATGGAGTTAGACGTGATGGCAATTGTCGTCCCTTGTTGTTTGTCCCTTGCACCTAGTATTCAAAGGCCCAAATTCTTGCACACAAAGTTGTCATTTCACTGCCATGGCTAATAGCCATCGAAGAGCCAGTGTGGTGTCATGAACAGAATGGCAGACTAAGGGAAGAGCCACACCATACATTTAAAGTGCTGGTTAATTTTGGTTAAAGGAAAAAAATATGGTATAATAAAAGGCAACCAAGCCTTATGAGAAACGGTTGAAGGAGCTGAGTATGATTGGCCTGGAAAAGAGGAGACTGAGAGGAGATATGATGTTGTTGTTGTTTAGTCGTGTCCAACTCTTTGTGACCCCATGGACCAGAGCATGCCAGGCACTCCTGTCTTCCACTGCCTCCCGCAGTTTGGTCAAACTCATGCTGGTAGCTTCGAGAACACTATCCAACCATCTCGTCCTCTGTCGTCCCCTTCTCCTTGTGCCCTCCATCTTTCCCAACATCAGGGTCTTTCCCAGGGAGTCTTCTCTTCTCATGAGGTGGCCAAAGTATTGGAGTCTCAGCTTCATGATCTGTCCTTCCAGTGAGCACTCAGGGCTGATTTCCTTCATGGATCATCACCTTGCCGTGGTGAAGGGGCTTGAATAACTCAGAGAAGCTATGAACTATGCCGAGCAGGGCACCCAAGATGGATAGTGGAGAGTTGTGATCCACCTGGAGCAGGAACTGGCAAGCCACTCCAGTATCCCTGCCACGAAAACTCCATGGAGACACAAACGTGATCCACCTGGAGCAGGAACTGGCAAGCCACTGCAGTATCCCTGCCAAGAAAACTCCATGGAGATATGATAGCCATCTTCAAATCTCTGAAGGGCTGCCACATGGAACATGGAGCAAGCTTCTTTCCTCCTGCTCTGGAGGGTAGGACTTCCTTGGAAGTTTTTAAGCAGAGGTTGAATGGCCATCTGTCATGGATGCTTTCGAGATTCCTGCATTGCAGGGGGTTGGACCAGATGACCTTGGGGTCCCTTCCAACTCTATGATTCTGTGATTCTATGTATCTATGAAATGCAACAAACTTTTTGTCCATGAGAATCATAAAGCACGAATGAAGGTGTATTCTATAAGGTGTACACAACCCATCATTGTCCCCGCCCCCAAGCAAGCACTTAATGGTTTCTGTGTGCATTTCTTAAAAATCCATTTAAAACCCATGCTTTCCAATAAGTCAGCTTGGCTAAAAACACCACAGCTCTAACTTATTTTCTCTCTCTTTTCAGCACTTATTTAAAAATGAACTGTCTCTTTCCCCAGTGCTGAAACATAATGACATCCTAAAAGTTTCTGTCTGATAAGGAGGCAGCAAGAAACAGAAATGTACCCACTGGATCTGGTTTCCATTAGAACTTGGCAAACCATAGTCCTCTTATATTGAGAGATTAATCAAGGCTCTCATACAGTAGCAGGCCAAAGCCAAGAGGAAATTCGTAGTTATGAAGATGTGGCTTTTTTAAAAAAGAGAGAATCAGAGGAAGGCCATACTGTTCATAAAAGTCTCCTGCCCTGTCTGACCCGTTGAAAATGTGACTGTGTTATATCATGTTCCTCCTTTTCTAGGAGTGGTTTCTAAAACATTAATCTCCACCAATGAGACCAAATCATGTTCCTTTCGGGAATATTTTACAAAATCAAATCCAGCTGTTGCAGCCACCATTTGGTTCTGAAAAGAATTGAACCTCACTCAGGCAAAAGTGGACATGCTTTCAAATTTATAATTAAGGCTGTCAAACAATTAAATATTTTTATCTTGAGATGTGCATGCACACATATACATACTGTATACATACTGTGTGTGTGTGTGTGTGTGTGTGTACATATATACACACACTACACACACACAAATAGTGTGTGTGTATTTTATATTATAGTACATTTAGTGAAGTTATGCACAAAATAGTATCACCACTCACTCACTTATGAAAGCAGTTGTATTTAGCATTATTAATAAAGAGTTTATTAGATTAGATCTCAGTTGTTTCATTTTCACTTCTCAGTAATCCACCTCCTTGTCAGTAACACTAGGATTGCCATTTGCTTGTGTGTTGGGTGCATATTCAGGTTGCTCAGTGCAGAGTCCAAAGTTTTTACTGAAGTGACTTTCCCCCTGACCTTTTAATGAAGCATTTCCTTCTTTCCAAATGAGCCTTTCAGCAGTTTAATGCCTCGTGAGTATTTCCCAACAAGTTCTAAGAGATAAAATGATTACTTCTTATATTACCACCTGCTCTGTATGTCTGCTGAAATTTTTTTAGACAGATGTTTCTCCTGATCTCACAGATGTCAGGCTTCTCTTGTGCCTGCAGAGAAGTCAATCAATATCTTCATCGCCCTAAACGCAAAGCAACTGTGAGAAAATACAACATGCCCTAAACAACCGTTCTGAAATTAGAAAATAAAAATATATTAGGAATGCAATTAACATAGTCATATATGCAGCTGGTTCGTATGCATGCATGACGTCTCACTGTAGGGAATTGCTGATTTAACCTAAACATACCCAATGTACCATCTTTAATTAGAACATTTCTTATATGGCAATCAGTTAGCGTTATTATTTTAAATAAATATCAAAAATAAAACAACTTATATGATTAATTAGTTGCTTGCTACATAGTCTCTAAGCAGCTTATAAAAGTTCAAGAAGTTCTGATGAGATTGGTGATTTTATTTTTGATGTAAATCATTACACTAAATTTGAAATTTAAGTTAAAATTTTTTAATTTTTTAAAATTAAAAAATTAATACAATTAACAATTTCCCCCAAACATGTATTGATTATTTAATATTTCTAAGAGCCACCTGCAAATTTCATCTTGGGATCTCAATGGGATCACATTTTTAAAAAATATTTTGTACATACATGTCTGCCTTTTTGGGTTCTATTTAGGTAGGATAAAGGGGTATTCTTGGAGTAAATATAACAATAAACAAGTCCTCAATTATAGCATTAGTTGCTTCAGACATTTCTTTAGAAAGTTATTCAGCTAAAAGGTGTCAGGCTTTTCTTTCAAAAAATGTGTTCCAAAGCAGTGATAGCTTCCTCCTGAACGATAGAATTAACACTTTGACAGAAGGTGGACCTGGAGTTGTTTAAAAATGACAAACCTTTAGCAACTTTTATTTTATTGACTTCATAAAAATTATACACCTCGTTGATTGTAAAAACCAAACAAACAGACATGTCAAAAGCAGTTTGCAGTTTTTTTGCATCACATTCAGTAACCTATCACTGCACTCATTGTGTGTGTGCATCGTTGTTGTATCAGTGCAATGGGCACCCAAGGAGGAGCACACAAGGGCCAGGAAAATGGCATTTTTAAAATAAAACAAAATAAAATAAAATTATTTTATATAAAATATAAAAGTAAAATAAAAAATATATTATATAAAAAATAAAAAATACATTATATATTTATATATAATATATCATAAATGTATACTATATTATATCATCCATTTTTAAAAAATAAAGTATTTTAATATATTCTTTATTTTATATTATATAAAAATATTAAAATAAAATAAATATTTAAGATGCCTGCCACTTCCACAATTTCCCAGCCGGCCCGAGCTCCGCCCATTCGCCCTTTCCCTGGTTCCAAGCTACGCCCAAACAAACGCAGCTCCGCTCTGCAACGCTTCGCGCCGCGCTCGGCAATTTCCGTCACCGCGCGCGCCGCTCCTAACGTCACCGCTCCGCTCGCCGCTTAAGCGGTCGCTCCTTCGTGAAAACTCGCCGCATCTTCTTCGGCTATTTCCGGAGAGAACTGCGGCGCTTTTTCTACCTCCCACCCTCCGCTTTGCCTCTCCAAGGCGCGACGCCGCGGTGCATTGTGGGGGCGCGCGCGGCGCATTGTGGGCCGGGAGGAAGGAGGAGAATTCCTCTTCCCTCCCTCCCCCCTCCGTGTGACTCGGAGCTGAGGTGGCCGCCATCTTGTCCACCAGCCAAACCATCCGCCGCCGCTGCTGCCGGGCTTTTGAGGCCTTGCGGGGAGAAAGCTCCGAAGCGGCCTCCTCCTCCCGCCTCCCCGCGTAGGGGCAGAGTGGATGCCGGGTCCTTCCCCGGGTCCGTGCTGCTGAAGACCTCGGAGCCGGGCTCCTCGGGGATGGGCCGCTCCCGCTCGCGGAGCTCGTCGCACTCGAAGCGCGTCAAGAGCTCCAAGCACAACAAGAAGAACCGGAGCCGCTCCCGGTCCCGCTCCCGGGAGAAGGAGAGGGCGAGGAAGCGCTCCAAGTCCCGGGAGAGCAAGCGGAGCCGGCGGAGGGAGTCCCGCTCCAGGTCCCGCTCCAACACCGCGCCGTCCAGGAGGGACCGCGAGAGGGAGAGGGAGCGGGAGAGGGCCTCCTCCCCGCCCGACCGCATCGACATCTTCGGCCGGACCGTCAGCAAGCGCAGCAGCCTGGACGAGAAGCAGAAGCGCGAGGAGGAGGAGAAGAAGGCCGAGTTCGAGAGGCAGAGGAAAATGTGAGCCTTTGGGGTATAGGGGGAGATGTGTGGGGGGGGGGAGCGACGCCAATAAAGCCGCCGCCCCCCATAGTCTCTGGCTAGTGAGGTGGGTTTTCCTGGAAAGAGGAGCTGCTGGTGGGCAGGCGGCGAAGGGGCGGACTTCGCAGCAGACGCTGCTCTTGGCATAAGCGCGTGGGGGCGTTTCTGATTTGAAAAGAGACAGCGGGTGGGAGGGTTTGGGCGGGGGTGGGGAGTAGGGGATCCTCCGAAAAAGAGCAGGATGCAACTGTCATGGATGCTGGGGACAGGTCCTTCGTAGCACGTGTGTTGAAGATCCTGCTGCTGACAGGTCACCTGGCTGAACGCCCACGTGCCATCTGAAGGAAAAGGACAGCCCTTTTTTGTGTTTTCCTCCCCTGTTTCTCTGTTGCAAGGAAGGCCTTTCTTCCTCTTCTGGCTTCTTTTGGACTTGGCCTGCCTGCTGCTTGTCAAGAAGGTTCCGGCCTCTCTCCTTCCCCTGTCACCTTTTCAAGGCTCCAAGCATGCAGTTGCATTTTCAATGTGCATTTATTCCAGTATGTAGAACCGTGGAAAATTGTAGAGTTGGAAAGGTACCGCCCCAAGGGTCATCTAGTCCAACCCCCTACAACACAGGAATCTGTAGGCAGTTTTATTTGCTGAATTTACTTGAGGGCTGTTGAGGTAGGGAGGAAAACCCGGGAAGGTTTGCTTGATGGAAGGTTATACTAAAGCACACTAAAGGGGCACTTTCTTTACATTGCTCATGTCATTGTTGTGATATACTCTACAGATGCAGTCAGCTTATACCGCTTTATACAAAGTTGGACCATGGGTCCATCTAACAGGATAACGACTGTGAGCTGCTCTCTAGGGTGTCCGACAGAAAGCCTTTCCCAGCCGTTTGTGCAGATACCATTGATTAAATATGGTGTCTTCTGCATGTGAGGCAGGTGCTCTTCCATTAAGCTGCAATCCTTCCCTTTAGAGGGAAGGTTTATACATTTTGAACCAAGTCCTTTTCCTAGACTGTACTGTCAGTAGTGGTGTAGCAGTACTTAGGATGTACACGTAGACATAGAACAGTTCTCACTGCAGCTCTTTGGTGTTACTACATTGCAGCCCAAGCTCTCACTGCAAGGGAGGTTTCCTATACATCATGTTGAAGCACTCCCTCCCCCTCTCATTCCTCCCTTAATGTGCAGGCTAAACTAAGTAGAAGGAAGAATAGTGCTGCATATAGGGACCTGGTGAAGTGTGTGGGTTGCTAAAAGCTTCAGCATGAGGCACATTGAAGTAAGTGTTCTAGCTGCAGTGTTGCACACAGAACAGTAGCAGTCTTATAGGAGAGAGCTATCTAGATCTGTAATACAGCTCTGATAATTATTCTTGAATTTCACACACACAAACCCTGGTTGATGCCACATGTATCTTGGTAAGTGGGGAAAACAATTCGATAGATTTAGTTAGAAGTGCTAGTGGACTACTATTGGAGGATTGGAGCCTTCGAAAACTGGTTTTTGTTCACTTGATGAACAAACTGATTTATTCTGATGCTATCAGAATACTTATACCAGTATAGCACACGCATAAATACTGATCTTTTTATAAGCAATGTAAGCTTACTAGCATTTTATCTGTGCTCCACATTTTGAACAGTAACTGGGTTATTAACAGTATCCAGTGCCTAATTCACGCAGATCACCTTGTGTGCAAATGTGACACTTGTGGGCAGTGTAACATAGTTGATAAGGCTGCTCATCCCTGCTTGAAGTAAGGATTTTGTTACCCCCAGTACTCCCTGCTCAGGGAAGGTGCTGCTGCTTTCCATGAATACATTACATTGTTCAGAGAAGTTGGCCACTCTTTGGAGCAGCTATTTGCATGAAAAAGCCAACAGATATAGTGTCTGAACTGGCACTGAGCCACTGTAATTAAAGAAACCTTTCTGATCTTTTATTCAGCTTAGAGAGGGAATAGTCTATCCAGTGTAAATTAGTTATAGTGCATTGTCTTCTGGGAGTTTTAAAAAATACATATTTGTACATTTGAAAAAACTAGTTCTTCAGATTAATTTTATTCACATTCTTTTTCGATGGGTTCTGTAGACACATGCTTCTGAGTGTTTGACAGAAGGCCCACTTCAGTCTTATGACTTGTGAATGGTACTGCTACATGAAATGCATTCTTGCACCGAAAGGTCAGCAGGGATCATGTCCTAATGAGAAGTAAAGTTTGATCCTTGACTCAAACTGAAAAGCAGAATTGAAGGTGTTTGAGTTGATCTGTTCCTGCTAAGTAATTAAAATCTTGACCTACAGAACTGTAGTTCTGAAACTGTAAGAATCCCTAGTTTGTGGGAAAAGCTAATTAGCATTTTGTTATTGTACAAATCAGTATATTTTGGAAATAGTAGAATGCTTGGATTCCGGAGTAGGTGGGTTAATACTGAGTTGAACCTCAAAATAGTAAGAGCAGAAGTGCTTGATGTAAAGATGGTAGAATTGTCAAAGTTCATTGGTAGAACATGGGCTTACCTTTCTGGATAAATATAAAATCACATATACTTTATAAAAATCAATGAGGTCCCTGCTTAACCCTGGCATACCATAATTTAAAAGGTGATTTGGTGGTAGGCTAAAGCCATAAAATACCTTGGAGAGCTACTGTAAGCCAGAGTTAAGTGAGCTGCTCCAATGGTCTTTATGCATAAGGCCATTCATCCTAACATGCAGAAGGAAGCAACATAATGCGTTATTTTCTTCTTAAAAGTTTTTGTACAGTATCCTGGAAAGAACTATCTGGGGGGTTGGGGGGGCAACCCTACGTATTGTGTGCCCTCATTAGCTTACATGATGTATGCAGCATAGCGCACAGCAACTTTTTAAAAGTACAATCTCCATAATATATACAACATTTCATGTAGTCTTGTTCTATTTTCAGTCTACACAACAGATTCTTACACATGTGGGCTGTCACAAGTACTGCAGCACACAGAACCTCACTTTTTACCACATACTGTTTTAATTTTTATAGTGTCTAAGGATTCAACTGGCAGCATGAGCTTGTGTGTTGTGCTCTCAGAATCCCAACAGCTTAACTGATACCATTCAGCAAAAAATATATACCATCACATTTAATGGGCAGGAGCTAAGGGTATGCTTCTCTTACAGGAAAACCAGTGGGATTTATAAGAATGTTACTATGGCCCCACGGTTGCAGGAAAAAGTTTGAAATTGTGATGAGACAATTTTTTGCCCCATGTCTCCCCAAACATCCCCCTCCCAAATACATTAATAAAAAGTAATATTTGGCTGTCATGATTTTCAGCACTGCATTATGATAAAATGCTGCCTTGTTTTCATATAGCTAATAATCAAGGAGATGATTATGTGACACTGTTTAAAAAAGGCAGATTTTGCCCCTCTGGCTTGTTCTTCATGTTCACTGTAGCATAAAGCTTTGGCATTTCTGACATTAAATTGTATGGTTATTTAAGGTGATAGCTAATTGGTCCTGCCCATCAGCAGAACAGACTTCCGAAACAGGACTACTTCTCTTCCCTGCAGCAACCATTCCCCTCAGGAGGGCTGTGGGATTCTCCAGAGCAGATTGGGTGGGCACAGAGGGAGGTGCTGCAGAGAAGAGCAAGGAGAAGCTTTTTTTAAGCCTATGTCGGCTTGTGTAACATTGTGGCTTTTTTTCTTTTTTCTCCCAGTGGCACACCTGAAAACTGTTACAATACAAAATAAACAACTAAAATACAAAACTTAATCACATTAAAGCAAAGAAATAAAACCAAGTGCAGATGAGTCTTTAAACTTCCATCAAACCAATGCTCCTGAAAAGGCAGGGAGAATAAAAGGGTGCTGTCTCCATTGTAGCAGCCTGCCAGATTTTACTTGGCAGTGGTACTTGAAGAAAGGCCTCTGGTAATGATCTTGTGGGCCAAGTACATACAGTTCAATTATATTTCACATAGATATAGTTGGTTTTCAATTATAGCATGCTTGGCATTGCTGCACAGGTGCATGTCCAATTGACATGCGGGTCCTTTTGGATCTGGAAGGCAAAAGGGGGGGGGCTTATACGTGCTCTGCTGATGCATGCAGGGGCCAGGAAAGCACACACCCACACCCTGTGCAAAATGATCTCTGCCTGTATTTAGGGACTTATGAAACTGGGGGCGTGGCGGGTGGCAGAAAGCAATACTTACTGTTGAATCCTATCGTTCCACTTGTGTACATATGCAGTGCCTGCTGTGCAGATGCACACATCTGTGCAAAACTTAATGCATGATGTATCACATTGGAGGTGACAAAAAATCATTGATTTGGTATTTCTGTTCTTGCAGCCGGCAGCAAGAAATAGAAGAGAAGCTTATTGAGGAAGAGACGGCTCGAAGAGTGGAGGAACTTGTAGCAAAGCGGGTAGAAGAAGAACTGGAGAAACGGAAAGATGAGATTGAGCGGGAAGTTCTGCGCAGGGTGGAGGAGGCTAAGCGCATCATGGAAAAACAGTTGCTCGAAGAACTCGAGCGACAACGACAAGCTGAACTTGCAGCACAAAAGGCTAGAGAGGTAACGCTCGGTCGTTTGGAAAGTAGAGACAGTCCATGGCAAAACTTTCAGTGTCGGGTTGTGCCTCCTGTTGCGTTCAGAAGGAGATGGAATACAGCAAATCTAATTCCCTTCTTGTGTAAACTTGCATTGCTGCGAAACTTAATTTCTAACTTATTCAGAGGAGCTCACTGATACCTAAAACAGTTACTCTCCTATAAAAACCTGTGCAAAGGATACTTGAATTTTAATGGAACTGACCTACATATTTGAGAATGGTTTGAAACTTTTGCCATGGCTGCAGGATATATCCACAGTCCTTTCTTATGGGGGCAATGGGTTAAACAATCTGTGACTATGTATCCCTCGTTTGTTTTGTTTTACCTAGACTGTAAGAGGCTTTATGCCTTCAGTCAGGGGGCGGGAAATAAAAAGCAGGGTGCAATGCTGAGCTGCACTACCTTTCTTTAAACAAATAGATTTTCTTATTCTCCCTTTAAGGCAATCACACATTCTTCTTCAAAACACAGTGGAATAATTCTGGAACTCTGGTCCCATTCACTTCCTTCACAAAAGGCTTACGCCAAACTCACGAGATCCATTTTTTCAGTGACTACTAACAACTTCTTTTCCTCTAGACTAGAGAGTTGTAAAAGAGCAGGTTGTCCTTGCCTGAAGTTGAGCTAAACATGTGACTTCTTCTGTCAGCAGCTGGAGCAGAAGCTGAAAATGTCTTTCTGTGAGGCAGTCAGTAATTTGCTACTGGAGGTTTTAATGCTTGCCAGCACTAATCACTCCAGGATCCCCAAACTTCAAGTTAAACTCATTTCCACTCTACAGAAAGCCGTGCTGAGTGTCAGACAACTCATGCCAATTCCCCCGCCCCAATTCGTGATTTGACCAAGTTGATTTAGTTCATTAGTTGTCAATAGGAGAGAAGCTTCAGTAAGATGATTTCCCCCCCACCCTCATGATTTTTGGAATGATGCAGGATGTTTAAAATACAGAATAACTGCATGTGCTATAAATTCAGTTTGATTTTTACAAATCTAAACTTTGGCTATAAGTAACCGCTGAATTATTTTTAAGATTTCAGTTTGAAAAACAAAACTCTGTATGATGGATTTTGGCTGGAGTAATGGTGCCTTCCCAAAGAGTAGATAATTGAACAGCAGGGAATAAGCATGATAATGGCTGTTCCCATCAGGACCCTTTTATCACACATCATCACCTTGAATTCCTGGAGTGAAGGGTGCCAACCTGTAGCTGGTTACTAGGCATAGCAAGAAGTATTTTCTTCACATACTTGCTTTGTTTCCTATTTACTATATTTTTGTGCAGACCTCAGGCTGATTTAACAAAACCTCCACATATTTAAATAATTTGAATATTTATGATGATAACTGAAATTATTCTTGAACCTTCTTGCAATATTTTTGCTTATGGTTTGCATAACAAAGTTTCTTTAAAATTTATGAAAGGAACTCTAGTTTCAGATGCGATTTCAGTCTCATACTTTCCCTGGATTCCCGGACTCCAGTTTAAATTGCAGAAGGGACAGTTTGATACTGTCTCTTAAGCTTGTCACACCCTAGGATGTTCAGTCCATTCACCCACGAAGGAAGCCCATAGTTCCTACGGAGTATGGATTGCCATTTGTACTTTTCGCTAACAGTAAATGTATTTTTTTTCTTATTAATTGTTTGCCTTAGGAATGTTTTACATATTTTTGTTCCTTCTTACCGTAAACATCTGCATTCCTCAGCTCAGCCTTCCTTGTATGTTGTTTCTTTATAAATGGTTGAGCTGCTGATGCAGGCATTGCCAAGCTAACAGTACAAATCATTTTAAAGAGGAAGCTGGCGCGTATGGCAGCCGAGGAGCACACTCTGCAGGACACTGGACAAGACAGTAAATATTCAACTTTTAATGCTGATTAAAGGAGTATAGGTAAAGAATACGTAGGTATACATGATTGGTGAGACAAACTATTCACTTTATTTATATTTTATATATTACTCTTTTAATTTGGTAAATACTATCCAGTTTTTGTAGTTGTCCTTGTTGATTTGTGTGATATTAAAATACTAGTAATAACTGGCTAGGGTTCTCTTGACTAGGGAGGGTTTAGTTGATTGCTGTTTGGACTGGGAGGGATGATTTAAATTTAGAGCTAGAGACCAAGTTTAGTGGCTGCACAGTTTGCTGTTTGAGAGACAAAAGACGGTGGCTATAAAAGCTGCCCCTTTAAGACAGTTCACAGAAGAAATTCCTAGGAAGACTAGTGCAGATGGGTGAGTGAGTATTTTACTTTTCTAACATCTTAACCTGTCCTCCCCTTTAGGAGGAAGAGCGTGCAAAGCGTGAGGAGCTAGAACGAATACTAGAAGAGAATAATCGAAAAATTGCAGAAGCACAAGCTAAATTGGTAAGTAGAAGAAAAGTTTTGATGTGCAGCTATAATAGTGTACAACCTGGCAATGTTAAGAACACTTCAGTCAATTTAAATAATTGGATTTGAGAACATTTAACTCTGTACAGAATTGTAGCTAAAGGTCAATGATCTCTCCTTCCTAGTTCCCTGAAAATTGATTCCAAAAGGTTGGGGGACCTTCCTAAACATCTTTGCGAAGGGTGAAAGAGAGACATAGAGATCAGCATGACCCCAACAAGAATTAGAATACAGTCTGGTGCTGTTCTGCAAATGCTTGCATAAGTGTTAGTGGATGAGTTTGCACAGGGTTAGAATAGCTGTGTTCTGTAGCAGTTTTCATGCCTGTGCAACAGTTTTTACAAATGGAAGAAATAATTCAGTTTCACTTGTTTTTGTATAATAATCTCATGCAACGAGTGGAACAGGTCTTTTCACATGTAGCAACTGCTGCATCATGCCCATATTTCAGATTTCTGAGATCTTGCCTATTCTTGTTGAAGCTGATGGTAAAACCTTGGTCTCCAGCTATATATAACCACGAGAGAATTTGAAGGGGGGGGGGACTTACTAATTTTACTTTGCACTGCCTTTATTGCACTTTTGGAGCATGCTGTCTTGTGAAAGTGTTTTCAACTTTTTTTTAAAAAAAGAAAATAGCTTGTGATAGGTAAGGGTCATGAAAGTGACTTGCTTTGTTTCCTTAGAATAATGAGAGTATAGAGAGGTATATAAAAGTAGGTTCAGTAGCTGGAGGGCAATGAAAATGTATGCTCAGCCATTTTGTTTGTATAACCCTAAATAAATTAATGGTGTAGGATTTGGGTGGTTTTGGCAAATGTCTTCTGCAGTATTGGATTGGTGCAGTATAGGATTGTTGGAGCAGCAAATAGCGTGTGAGGATTGCAGGATATCTAAATTCTACTGTTTTCATGTTATAGGCTGAAGAACAATTGAAAATTGTTGAAGAACAAAGAAAAATTCATGAGGAGAGGATGAAACTAGAACAAGAGAGGCAACGTCAGCAAAAGGAAGAGCAAAAAATGATCCTAGGCAAGGGAAAGTCTAGGCCGAAACTGTCATTCTCACTAAAGAGTCAGGATTAAATTTCAGCTCTGAACTCTAATGGAAAATGAAACAAAACTTTGTATAGTAGCTTCATGTTGAAGTGTTTTTTTATTTTATTTTCTTTCGTGATTTTTTCTTTTCTTTTTGGACATCTGAAAAGTTAGCTTGTTCTAATAGGGGCTGTGCTCTACATCTCTCTTATTTTAATGTCTATTGAGTTAAATCCTTATCAGATCATTGTCTTCTTAAAGAATAAATCTGTTTTGATTCTATGATAAAATGACTTGATGCAGGTCAGGTCATTTTATGAATTATGGTATGGTCTGATAAGGTTTTTACTGACCCACTGATCTCAGAGTTATACTCTGATGTTAATTTTTAATGCTGGTTTGCTGACTTCTTAAAAAAAAGTTTGGCAAAAGTATTGGTAAATTCCCACAGTGTACTGGATCCTCAGTGGTTTGTTATATCGGTGTCTTATGATACTATCCCACTATTGTGCTTGATGTTCCTGATACAGGTAAGGAAAAAGTTGGTCAGTGTTGGCTGGAGATGTGTAAAGGGAGTTCAGTATTGTCTCTGCTAGAATTGTTTTTATTCCAGTGGTAAAATTCAACCAGCATTCCCAATTGTGTAAATAAACCAATTTGCCGAATAAAGTGAAGTCTTAAATTCATGCGTTTTAAGTAAATTTTTTTAGTGCATGTATATTTTATGTTAATGAACAGAAACTTGTTTTCCCATAACCAAAAGCACACTAGTATTAAGGTCACTAATATCTTTCATGCTCTCTATTCCGAGCTTGCACATACAATTTGAAACTATCACAGCTGTGCGGTTTAGTGGCTATCGCTGGCTTAGAGGTAGATTTTGTTTTGACAAGATCCTCATTTCATCTGCTGCATCTTTCTTTGTCCAGCATTCAAAGAGTTAATGAGGCTTCTGTGTCTAGTGGAATTGTTTACTTTTGAAACTTCCCTCAGTTTCAAAAGCAGTGTGCCATACAGCATTACAGGGTTATACTTGGGAACAAGTCAAAATACCCTTGTGTTCATGAAACTAATTTTTCCTAACGTTTGCATTCTTCACCTTTATCTTCATCCCACCCCAGCATAATGGACAGATAAAAAGTGCCACATGCATATTTTTTTAAAAAATTCTTGTGGCTACTGAAAGTATTTGCTGGCATGTCCACCAGCCATTAATAGTTATGGTTTGTGATATTAGACTGGTGTAACAGTCTATGTATGCCTATTGAAGCACTTATTTTTTTGGCATAGGAAGTTTTGCAATTGGATCACTAGAATAATTTTGTAAAGGCTTTTTGTGTTATTGTAATGGTAAACACAAATGAAGGTTAACATGCTAGTCCTTTTCTTCAGGCACGGAGCGTTTGGATGCTGCACGTTTTTGTCAGTCCCAAAATATTTTTGGCACCAAGATAGACTGATTAGTTTTCAAACGTAACTGTTCTAGTGGAATTTTTTTTCCCTCCCCGGTTGTCATGTACAATGTTTCTACTAAAACTGCAGTATCCATAGTTTGTTCATAACGTTCTTACTTGAATAGTTGAATCAAAAAGGAACAAGAGAGTGATGGTGCCTTTTTTTGTTTTGCAAGCAATGTAACATCTTTTGCGTCGGGTATGTGACCCAGATCTGGAAGAGTCTCATGTTCTGTTTGCCCAGATTACAGGATGAAAAGATGATGATGAAATACACAACAGCTGAACAGTCAATATCTTTGAGAATGTTTTTAATAAATTAATACCGCTGTAATCATTGTGCTGTTCTTACTTCTACCTGCGTTTATCTAAAACCTAGCAAAATACCCAAGGAAACCCAAGTTCTTTCAAGTCTCAATAGTTTGCTTTAAACTATATGGTAACTAAACTAATGCAATAGCTAAAAGCAAATGTATTGGGAAGGGTATTTTTAAAAACTCAGTGCCGTCCAAGTATAGTTATTTTTTTATTTAAAAAAATGCATGGACTTAAAACATCCCAAGTCCTCAATACATTTGATATATTTTACTAGTGTTTGTTTTTTATGTACAAGATACCAAAAAGAAGGGGGGAAACCACTAGTTTAAGCTGTGAAATAGGATATCTGAAGGGTCCTGGCATCACCTAATAATAGTGAATGCATATAACCAGAAGACATATTTATGTAATATGAACACCTATGGTCGCAAGTGGTCTTTACCTCTGGGCCTATTATAAAGATATAGCTCTAAATTTACTCTACATTTTTAATGAGACTTGTTTTTCAGTTGCCTAATAAAATCATGCTTCCCCCCCATATAATATGGTAAGTTTGATCAAGTGACTGATAGGCATTCCTTCCACAACAAAGTGTTTTGCAGCACCTTTAAAGATTAACCAATTTGTTCCGGAATTTGCTGTAATTTCTTCGTCTTTAAGATGCTACAATGCTGCTGTTTTCACTTTCCTTATATTGAGAACTCTAGAGCAAAAGTTGATTTTAAAGACAAAATCCTGCCTTTTTTGTTTGTTTTTTTAATAACAACAGTAGTTTGAGGCTGCTGTGGTGGAGATGGTTAGGGTCTGGTCCTGTTCAAACTCCCTGCAGATCTGGTGCAACATGATGTGTGCTCTACAGATAAATTCTAAGGAAGCTTTCTTCTTTTAATATTGAAACATAGTTATTTCACTCATGTTAGGATCCAATAACGCATACCTTTCTAATGCTGCTCAGTGTGTGACAGCAAGTCTTTTTTCCTCTTTTTGGCACACTGCACTGTATCTTGGAAGTCATTCTGACAGCTGACCTGTCCATTTCAGTTTAAACTGGCAAGGTGGATTACCCCTCCCCATATTCATTAGCAAACCTCCTTTCCTGTTCTCTTTTTACTCCACTTCCTGCATGGCCAATTAAAAGAAAAAGGCCGAGAAACTTGCTGACAACTGCCAATTTTTCTTTCTCATAAATGTATCCAAAGAACCTCTGTTACAGGCGATCATACATTGTAGAAGTACTGTAACTTCTTAGGGAAGAACACAGTTGCTGCCTTCTGCTTCAATGTGTCTTCCTGGAAGAAAGATGACCAGCCTGTGATACATTGGGTTCCACTGGCTTGAGGAAGGCAGAACGGGAAGGAAATCGTGGTTTTGGCAAGTTCATGAGAAATGAGGAATTGTTGAGTCAAGTGTGACCTGAAGTGGTGGTGTTTGGGGAAAAAACCCATGCTTTTTTAAAAGTCCTTTTCTGGCTTTTCCTAAACGATGCTGGGGTGCAGGGTCTTGCACCCCAGAACTGAAGACAATAGGCTGGATTTTTATTTTGAGTTAGGGCTGTATCAAACCAATGGAAACCCTTTGTAGCTGTGGAACCTAAGGACCCAACCTTGTTTGGAAAGAACTGATCTCCCCACAGTTTCTCCCGTGAGTCTCTTGTTAGTATCAAAGGTAGAGACATCCTTACTTCTGAGTCATTGGAAAAGGCCAGTGGCGGGGAGCAGGAGTGCCTGGAAGCTGAGAGGGAGTTAACCTTTCAAGTACATCCTAATGATTTCAGGGTCCCTCAGTCCCAACAAATGTGCTTAGGTAAGGCTGCAGGCGAGAGGCTTTAATGGACAGCGAGCAGACGCAGCTTGGGTCGACTGTTCCCGAATGGCGACTAGGTTTTTCAAAACCTAGTAGTAAAGTGGAGATCACTAAAGAAGAAAGCCTTTTCTCTCTCCCTTGAACCACCCCCTGGATTTTACTATTGGGAAGTTTTTGTGTGTTGTTGTGTTTTTACTTTTTTGTTGTCATTGTGAGCTGCCCAGAGTGGCTGGGGCAACCCAGTCGGATGGGCGGCATACAAATATAATAATAATAATAATAATAATAATAATAATAATAATAATAATAATAATTTTACCAATTTAAATTGGCAGACCCAAATGCTTTTACAATTACACTGTAAGGCCCAGCTTCCCGGGAATTCATTCTCGGTTTTCAAAGAATAAATCCCCTATTTATTTATTTTTAATCAGAATAAATAAAATTTAACTAAAGGCCGCCATGCCTAAGAGCGCACATTCGCCCTGCAATAACTTCCGTCCAGTTTGGCGGGACTCGCTTCCGAGTTGAAGCAGGCAAATGAGAAAATCCATTTAGGGAGCAATTTCGTGAAAGCAAAAGCCACCGCCTTCCTCCGTCGGAGCTGAGCGAGACTTTCCGGCTTGCTCTCCCTCCTCGCTCCGCGCGGTCTGCTCGGCCTTAGGGGGCCCGATCCACTCGCTAGGCGCATCTTGGGAACGAAGTTGCGCTGCCTGCCGAACCCAGAACCAGATTGTTCCCCCGCGTTGCTGTTGAGCTTCAGTCCCGGGAAGAGAGACATAACTTGGGTTTAAGTAAACGGGGCTGTGCAGATCGCAGCTAAAATCTCCTTTTTCTCGGGAGGGGGGTGGCCTCCAGTAACACTCCTTTGAAAGAATAAATCGAGGCAAAACCATATTTAGCCTCCCGTTTTATTTCCTAACGGGCTGGCCAATGTTTTTGAGGCTGTTTGTGTCCTTCTCGAGGAAGCAATAGGATTTTTATTTTATCTTTGCGGGGAAGGGGTGGTGTAGCAGCTCTGGAAGAATTGCTGTCGCGGTTGAAGGGGGGGGAACCTCTTCTGTTTCCTGGGAAAGTGGATTCAGATCTGTCCGGAGATAGTCAACCCACCCTGCCCCCCTCCAAAGAAAATGATTATTAAGGAGATATGCGTGCAATCCCGAACGAGCAACTCGAAGTTTGTGATTCTGAGCTCGCTCGCAACGGTGGCGCAACCCGCTTTCCATGGAAAGGAGGATTTGGGTTCGGGGTGTTGTAAGTCGCTTGATGGAAACCCTGCCGGTCCCCTTGGCTGGATTTTCCACGGGGCTGCAGTCCGGATCCTCTGCAAACTGTTTCCACGGTCGTGGGTCGGAGGAGGGACTTCTTGTATCCCAAAGCAGAAGTTGACCAGAAGGGCAACTTTATCGCTCGCCACTTTGCGCACCAGCCTCGTGCGCGCAGAAGCAGCTGCCCGACTTTTCGCCAGGAGCGGCGCTTGCTTGGGAACCGCGCCGGCGAAGTGGCCACTGAACTTTGGTGGAAGCCTCTTCAGGGTTGAGGAGAGCCAGATCAGACTGATTTCTGAAGTTATAAAACAAGCCCGCAGTTCTCCACCTACTTACCTGGACGCAAATCCCAGTAAACACAATGGGGCTTGCTGCTGAGTAGACACACACATATATGATTGAATTGTCGAGAGATTTACACGTGTAACCTTCAGAGCATCCCTGAATCGCTAGAGAGTTTGCTTTTAAAAGGGGAATCGGATTGTTCCCCTGTAAGAAAATGTTGCTTGTTTGTTTTTCTTACTTTTTTAAAAAAATGGTATTCCGCTCTCAGACATGGCTATTTACAGCTGCCCTTTCTTGCAGCCAAATCTCTTTTGTGACGTCCCGTATTTTTAGCTCCTTGGGGCTATTTTTAGGCTTTCCAGATGTGCCTCTTTCTTCGAAAGGGGACCCCCCTCCTTCTTTGACAAGGTTAACCCTGATTCCGGAGCCTGGAAGAGGAAAGGGGACACGAGGCACCCTCCCTGCCCCCCAAGCCCGAGGCTGGCACTAATTTTGGACAGGCTTTTCTTCGCCGGGCTAGCCTGTTTTTCAGCCTATTTTCGTTTCCACCGGACGCTCAGCATCACGGAGGATGCAATCAGAAGCCGTTTCCATATATACATATATATGTGTGTGTGTCCTAAAACACATATGCACACCTTCCTTACTTTAACAGCAACTCAACCGGCGCGTTTCTAAACAAACAACCCCCGTCTCTCCAAAGTTCACCTAACTTTATCTCGGGTCCTTGCAAAAATCCGTTGACGGACTTCCTGGCTCTTGTGAAAGATCCACCTTATCTATGCAAAAGTACCGGTATCTTTACCTTTGCAAAAGTCTGGACAGAGAATCCCTCCAAGTGAGCAAATGGTGTGTAAATGACGCCTTTTTGGGTCCCCCTCCCCACCTTTCACCTTCGGATATCTGAGTCACCTTTCCAGCGATTGTCTCCTGGGTGCGAATCCGGATTTCCTCCTACTCCTCCCCCCTCCTCCTCTCTGGTTGGCGTCGGGTCTCCCCCGACAAAGGACACCGAATTCACAGTTGGCTCAGCCCCGCTTGGCACTTTTGCGAGAGAGAAACCGACTGGGAGGGAGGCGAGAGACCCCGGCGCGCCTCGGACGCGCGTCTGTCGTGCAACTGGCGAAGGCAAGCTCCGGACGGAGTGCAAATTCGGACCAAACAGTGCCGGGAAAACAGAGTCGCGCGGCTTTGGGAAAGGGGAGTTTCACCCACGGCTTCTTCCAAAAGCCATGCTTTCTTCAACTCTTAAAAAAAAAAATTCCAACAAAACTCTTATACACCTCCCCACCACCCAGAATTGTCTTAAAAATAAAAAAGGGTTTATTCATCCCAAAATATTAAGATATTTGGGTTGTTTTAATCAAATTAGAAGAAACGGATGAGTTTTAAAGCGGGGGGAGGGCGGGCAGGAGAAAGAACTATGCATGGATTTAAGATAACTTTTCTACTGTCTTTGGTTTTTGATGTTCCAAACTTGGGAGAAAGTTTCCAGCTTCTAAATTCTGACAGAGCAGTTTGTGGCCTCGCTCGCTGAGTCTCTCCAAATGTTTATAAGAGAGCAATCCAAAAATGATCGGATCGTGCCAGATTAGAGACCGCATCTCCTTCGAAACATTGCAGGGAAATTGCTTGATTGTTCTATCCATTGCAATT